GGGGGAAGGAAGTCAAGCCACAGCAGACAGCTGGGTCGGGACTGCCGCCTGAGCAAACCCCTCGGGCAGAGCCGTCCGGGGCCCCACAGTGGAGGGTGAGGGGTAGACAGAGCTTAACCTGGCTCCGAGGGGTGTGCCCCAGCTGGGGAGCCGAGGCCAGAGCAGCAGATCAGCTGAGTGACAGACAGCCACACTTCCTGACACTTCCTGACACCCACTTTGGCACATCTTAGCATCACCTGAGGCTCAGGGAAATGGAGCAGAACTCCCTCCTACTCAAGGTCTCTGAAGATAGGGCGCCAGCTGACCACAACTCAAAACCCTCCGGAGGGGACCGGCCCTTCCTTTATCCATCAGGTACTGACCGAGCGCTGACCGCACGGTGGGCACATGTCAGGCTCTCCCAGGGTGCCGAGCAGAGCTCATTCCACAGCCTCAGCCCCCAGCGGTGTAGGACCTTGCAAGAGAAGAAGCCGCAGTGCTGGCTGACAGCCATGCATAATACAGAACAGTCCTGTGGGCAGGGGACTGAAAACCCGGTGATCAGGAAATGGGGGAGTCAGTCCTGCTTCCGATGTTCAGAATGTGCTTGGGGAAGTCACTGTACCTCTGAGTCTCTGTAGTGGGGCTGAAAAGAATGCAGTCTCCTTCCTCTGAGGAGGGTGGGGGGGAAGTTATGTGGTTCTGACAAGGCGGTGTGTGTAAACCACCGATTCTCAACGGGGATGGTTTGCACCGGGGACATTTGGCAATGTCTCGAGACATTTTTGGTTGTCATCTGCGGGGGTTCCTACTGGCATCGAGTGGGTAGAGGCCGGGGATGCTGCTGAACACCCTACCGTGCACGGGCAGGCTCCAGCTAGTGAAGGGCGATCCGAGCAAGCCTGGTGTGAGCTGTGGAGGGATGCGGGTTCGCTCGTGATGGCGCTCTGTGCCCAGAGCCATCAGAGGAGCTCCGAGAGCTTGGGCTTTCACACTTGGGGGGGGGTAATCCTTTTTAGCGGGGGACTAGGGGGACACTTCCTGGGGGAGGCAGGCTACAATTTTGCTCATGGGGCTGGCACTGACACCTGGGCTGGCTCCGTACACACCTGGTAGCAAGCTGTGCCCAGAGTGCCAGGCCAAGGGAGTTCCGTGGCCCGCTGGGTGAGCAGATGCCCGGGAACTGGGCTGGGAGATGCACATGCAGGGAAGCCAGACCCAGGGAGGAACCTGATTCCCCCGACCCCCACCGTGGCATCAAAGGGTCCTCCCAGCAACCCCTCCTTAGGTCAGTGGGCTTTGCCTATGAGCCAGGCTGGGCCTCCCTCACTCAGCGAGGCTCTTGTAGAGACACGGGTTGAAGAACAGGGTGGCGGCAGCCTGGAATTCTACATGTGTGGGCTGTGTCAGGTCACGGGATCTGCACAGAACAGTCTGGGGTAAATGGGGTTTGGGAGCAGCAGTCCGAAAGCCTGTTCTCTCCAGCGCCCCTGTAGACAGGGCCCCGGCTGCCCTGGCTCACAGACAGCAGCCCTCGGCTTCCAGCAGCAGCCATGGCTGCCATTTCCTTTGGTGTGCCTGGCTCTGTGCTCAGAGGCGCCGTGCATGGTCTCTCTCTTGCCTCACCACCCCCCAAATGTGAAGCCATTTTACAGATGAGGCACCTGAGGCTCAGAGAGGTCGAGTCACCTGTCCTAGGTCACTGAGCTGGTCAGTGGCAGGACTGGGATGGAACTGTGGCTGTGTGTCGTCCCGGACACCCAGTTCTTAGCCACTCTGCTGGACTGTCTTTGAGTGCCGCATGGGCTGCCTGCCCACGCCTCACCGGCCTGCACTGGGACCCCCACCCAGCATGCATGGCCTTCCTCCAGGAAATCCCAAACAATGAGCCCTTAGCTCGTTCATTCTGTGACTCTCCCCAGGACTTCATCTGGGGTTCAGAGCCATCTGCTGAGGGACTGCCACCCAGAGGATGGAAGAGGCCCACCAAAGGTCACGGCATGTACGGGGCAGAGCTGGGGCTGGAGCACCATCCCCGGACCCCCAGCACAGCCCCAGCGCCTGGGGGAACAGTCACCGACATCTCTGAGCCCGAGTCTGGTGGAGCCCAGGCCGTCCACTGACGGGCGGTTTTCATCCACCCATCCATCCCTCCCTCAGTGGCGGGAGCTACCACAAGCTGTCAACTCACCCCGCCTGCCAGACACAAGTCTAATCAACAGCTTCCAGCCTCTCTGGGCTTGCCCAGGCCTCAGGCTGCAGAGCCCTCCCAGCTCCCGGCTTCGTCCTGTCCAACAGCTGCAGGCAGCGGGACACCTGGCCTCCCTGCCAGGCCGCCCGCTCTTCTGAGACAACAGACAGCACCGGTGCTTGCACCCAGCCAGCCAACCGCCCCTGGACTGCAGCCCGACTCCAGGTACTAGCAGGGGCGTGGTCAGCCAGGCCTTGCCCCTCTGAGAGCTGCTGCCAGGCACCCTCTTGGGACCAGACCTTCCGCGTGGCTCACACTGGAAAAGACCCAGTGCTAGCCACCATCCCTGCCTGCCTGAAGCTTTTCCTTCTAGAGGCAGATTTTGGATCAGATCCTTCTGCCATTTACTCCGTAGGTGACTTAGTGCAATTACCTCTGTGATCCCCAATTTTCTCCTCTGTGAAATAGGGTTCAGATGGTGTTGGGTGTAGTGAGTGTGGTGGGAGCTGTCATAACTATTATCCTTATTGTCATGATGCTGACCTCCAGGCCAAGCCCCCCCTTTGTGACTGCTCTGGCTCACACTTCCCTGTTTGCTCTGTCAGTGACAGCATGTGCGCTGCCCCACCCATTCATGGGTTTGCTCTTATCTCGTCTGTCTCCCTAGACCCCGAGCTCCTTGAAGTCCAGGCTGTGACACAGATTTCCTGCAGGGCCGACTCAGTCCCTGGTCTGGGGATGGATGGAAGGTGATAGATTTGAGGTACATGACCTAGTCTTGGATGTGCCCACGGATCTCTGCTCCATCACAGCCTCTCTGGTTGGGTAGGGTCCTGGGGAGGCCCTGCCTCTTCTGCAGTGGGCTGAGCAGAGACCCTTGGCTCAAAGCCCGAGGCCCAGGGCAGAGCGGGAGTGAGCAGGGTCATCCACAGACTGCTCCGTGGCAACCTGAACCATCTCCGTTGCAGAGAACAGGTTTGCCAACCTTGCTTTTCCCTCACCCCACCCCCCTGTGGCGCCAGAATGAGAACTGAGCTGTTGGAATACCCCATGGTTTGCGTGACCCAAAGCTGGGGCTGGGATGTCACACCACCTGGACCACACTGGCTCAACTTTGGGATGGCTCCAGAGAGGGGAGCATGTCACTGCCTGGGAGTCAAAGCACCTGGGCTCAGTTCTTGGCTCTGAGTTTGGGCAAGTAGTTTCCCCTCCTGGGGCCTAAGTTTCCTCATCTGTAAATGGAGCCAAACACTAAATGCTCTTGAAGGCCGTTCCACCTTGGATGACATCCTCTCCCCTGAAGGCCTGGGTCAGACCCTGGGACTGCCACTTCCCCGTCAGCCCTTCTGGGGCCCTCTGCTGAGCGGTCAGACCAGCCCTCACTCTTCCTGATGCTCACATTCTCTGTGGGGACCCAGCTTTCAACCCATGCTTTCAAGAGTCAGCTCCAGGGACCCCAGATTCCCTCAAGTCCAAGTCAGGTCCCTTCCTCGGCCCTGCGATTCAAACCCAGCTCAGGGGGCTGGAGTGCTGGGCGGGCAGTGGGAGGAGGCGGGATGCCCTGGTTTCTGTGCACTGTGCCACTGCCCCTGAAGTGTTAATCAAATTAAACCTCCAAGAAAAACAAAAGCTCTGCAGCCACTTCAGGCGGCCTCAGAGTCCTCACTCCCAACAGCTGGGAGAATTCCGCATCACCTTCGTCCCACAAGCCCTGGGTGGCTCGGACCCCAGAGAACACTCTCCTTCCCGCCTGCAGGGCCCCGACTGGCCGCAATGACCTCATAGCAACAGCTATTGGACACTCGGGGCAATTTCATGGGAGATATTTGTTCTTTGGTCTTGATGCAGAGGGAATTTTTTCCTCTCCCGCTGTCTCCATGGAAACCCCAGCTACACTGTGGGCTAACCCCCTTCCCACCTCATGCTTTTCAGATCAATATTGGAGCTTGGCTCCCCACTGGCTGCCCACAGAGGATGAGGGCAGCACTTTGGGCAGGGTTAAGCCCGGAGCCTGGGGAATAGTTACTGAGGGGGCTGGAGGAGTTCAGGGTCCTCTTGCTTCCCTGTGGACTCAGGGGCCCAAGCTCACCCCTTTAGAATGTCCCCACACTTCCCAGCCAACCTTCTGTCCCTTCACAGGGAGTCCCCTGAGTCAGGCCCTCCTCAAAGAGAAACAGACAGGTCACCAGCAGTCACCACCCCTTCCTCCTCAGGCGAGACGCGGAGAGGTGGGGGGCTGTTGTCCTCTTTAACGGCTGGACGGAGTTCCTTCTTGCCCCAGGGAGAACCAAGGCCGGCCAGCGCCAGTCAAGGGCTCTCGGAGGCCCTGCGTCCTGGTCCCTGTTCTCCTTCTATCCCTAGCTCCCGCCCCCCAAGCAGAAACAGGTCCCTGCACGCCTCCAGCCCAGCCCGCAGCGCGGCGCAGCTTCGGCGCGGGGAGCTCGCTCCTGGACGTCTCAGGATTAACCTGCTGCTATCGCCGGGAGTCCTGCCCCAAAATGGGCTTCCTCCTTGACCTGTCAGCCCAGCCTGGGCTGGGCCCCGCGCCCGACACCCCACCCGGGCAGCCACTCCGCACTCTCACCCCCTTGCGCTCTCGGGCGCCCCAGACCGCCTATGGGTGCGGACGCCGCCGCCACCCCTGCTGCCTCTGGGCTGTGAGCCGGACCAGGCAGGAGGGGTGTCCAAAGGGAGGCCCGGGCAGTGGAGAGCACGAGCGAGCCTCGCGTCCCGAGGCCGAGACACCTGCGGAGCGCCCCCGTGCCCGCTGCCCCGCCCCGCCCCGCCCGGACCCTGCCTGGTTCAGCCAGGTCCAAGCCCGACTTACAGCCAGTTGCTCGCAGCGGCCGAAAAGACGGCGAAGACGAGGAGGCGCAGCGAACGAAGGCAGGAGCGGGGACTCATGGTGCTGCCGCGGGCGCCCGGCCCTGGGCAGCGGCTGCGGCCACGGGGGGCCTCCCGTCGGGGCGGCAGGTGGGCACCCCACTAGTGAGCTGGGGCGCGGCGCCGGGCGCGGGCCGGGGCGCGCGCGGCGGGGCTCTGCCTCCGTGCCTGCCGGCAGCCCTGCCCGCTTCTGCGCCCGCTGCCCGGCGCGGACCAGACTGTCAGCGCCGCCCAAGAGCCGGGATGCGGCGGCGGCGGTGGAGGCGGGCGGGCGGCCGGGGGGGCGGGCCGGGGGCGGGCCAAGGATGGGGTTACCTGGGCGGGCCCAGCGGCCCGGGACACCCCCCCGGGGGCGGGCCAGAGAGGCAGTAGTAGCTGCCGCCCTTGCCCACGGGACTGGGCTTCTTGCGGGCCTCCCCGGCCCGGCGCCCGGGAAGATTTGGGGCCGGAGCCCTCTCCAGGCACGCCTGGCTGCGCGCCGCCTAGTCCAGCCCGGCTAGAGGCGCGGCGACCCAGCTGCCGGGTCCCCGCCCGGGCCTTGGGGACAGGCGGGCACAGCTCCCCCAGCCCGCCGCTGCGGGCACTGCAGGGCTGCCCTGGCGGCCCGCCTTGCTCCCGCCGGTGCCGTGGAGCGCGACCCTGGCCCGGACCGACCCAAGCGCGATGGTTACTTGCGCTCCAGGCGCCAGGGGCTGCACGCCCAGGAGTTCGGGCTGCCTCACAGCAGCCCGAACCCCCAACCCGCCCCCACCTCCACCCCGCCAGGCCCCTCCCTGCCTCCCGGCCAGCGCGTCCTCTGGCCCAGCCCTTCCCTGGCGCTCACCTCCCTCAGCCTTCCGGGAGCTGGACCGGGCCTCCCGAGCTTTGGGCAGCTTGGGACAGTGGCCTGAGACTGTGGGAATCTGAAACCTCGATTCTGGCTAGCCCTAAGATCTGGGCGAGACCTAAGCAACAGGGTAACTGAGTCCCTTACCTCTCTCTGCCTCCGTGTTCTCATCGAAGGAACGGACAGAAGACCTGGTGAAGATGGAAGGAACTCAGGAAAGTCCTTTTTAGCACACTCACCAAGTCTCGCGTTGAATTTTGGCGTTCGGGGCCCTTGTTTTATTTACTCTCCAGAATCTGGCAGATTGAGCCCCTAGCTCAGTGCTTGGCTATGTTTGTGGAAGGCATGAATGAGATGGAATGGGCTGTGCCTCGTTGGTGTCGAGTGCTCCGTCCCACACCATGATTAACTGGCGAGAGTTACTTGCCCACCCCCAGGTAACCCATTCATCAGGTCCCGGATCAGCCCACAACTACTCTGAGCTGGCGGGACCTCTTGTCTAATGGAGAAACTAAGGCCTGGAGAGGGGCATAGAGGTGCCCTGCCTCCCTAGGGCACAGGGAGAGAGCCATAGAACTGGCCTATGCCCCCCCCTACCCAGGCGCTGTTGGCTGTTTTAGGAGCCCAAGGTTGGAGCCAGTGGAGGCGGTTGCGTCTGGGTGCCGGGAAGGTGCCCTCCACTCCACCGGGTGCCTGAGCTCAGCACAGGGGAGGGGCTTGGTAAACATTTGGTGTTAAGAGTCGGCAGAAGGTGGCAGGGATTTGTGGGGCCGCGCAAGAGTACAGATGGAGGCTCACATACCATATGTCTAAATATTTGCAAGTTATAAATCAAGCTAACAAAATGTGAAATAAAATATGTTCTATTCTCCCCCCTTGACAAGCACACTTTCATAACAGCCTGGAACGCCAGCTTCGAGTGTAGAATTCTGGCTCCTCGGACCCTGAACTGGAGCACAGTTGGGGGCGGGGGGAGGCCCCCTCCTGCCCCACCTCTGTCTTTCTTGCTCCGCAAGTGGCCTGTGTGCACACATGTGAACATCTCAGCCTGCCCGTGCTGGCCTGGTGTACACAACCCCTCCTCTCAGACGACTGCTCGGGACTGGGTATTCAGGGGTGTGGTCTGCCCTTGTGGGGACGGATCTGTGGAAGAGACCCGTTCAGGTCCTGGCCATCTGGGCAAGGTATCCCGGGGTCTTGGGCACCCAGAGTGTAATCTGTAGGAAGGGGCATGGGCTCCAGGTGGGCACCTCCCTTTGGCTTCTTGGTGTCCTTTGTGCTGAGAGCTTAGCTGGAGGAGGACCAGAGTGTGGGGTCCCAGGGCAGGGGCCACTCTCACTGAAGGGTGGCACTGAGTTATTGAACTATTTTGAGCCAATGTATTTGCTTCCTGGAATCTCAGTGTGGTGTGGTAGAAAGTAATAATAATAACAATAATTTAAATGGTAACAGGCGATTATTTTAGGGCGGCCATGTAATTTTCTTCCAAACCAGGGCATTGCTAAGAGTGACTGGGGACTTTAACGGGAAGACCTGCTGGGCGATCGGGAACTGAAGAGGGACTGCCCCAGGCAGAGTAGGATGCTTTGTTCTGCTAAAACATTCAGCCCTCTTAGGTTGGGGGTCATTCTGACTGGTTTCCACGCTGTCACTTGTTCACCCCTCGCAACAAATCCCGGGAGTAGGCACTGTTATTTTTTCCCATTTACAGGGGAGAAAATGACATGAGCGACTCGCCCAAGGAAAGTGAGTGGTGGACCCAGCACTCCCGTGCCACGTCCTTGACCCCCACGCTGCCCCGTGCCTGGGGCTCAGGTGTTGGGGCCGGAGCCTCTGTCTCGCAGCGCACGGCCCTGACCTCTGGGGAGCTGCCGGACCTCGGGCGTCTCTGTCCGTCTGGTGGAGACAATGCTACCTGGCTCGGCTTCTTTAGGGGCTGCTGGGAGACAGGCAAGAAGCAGTGGGTGTGAGTCCTGGGAGCTGGAATGAGCTGAGCAGGGGAGGGAGGGAGGGAACTGAGGGCCCGAGGCCAGAAAGGCCCGCCCTGATCGTGATAAGGACCAGGAGGAGTCCTTCGGTCTGAGTCAGTGGAAAGTCTTAATGGGAAAGTCTCTTTGAGGAAATGCTCTTCCAACTTCCAAGAACAGTTCGACTGTGAGGCTATCAATGCAACTTAATTAAAAAGTTCAGTTGTCAATTGAAAGCTCTTTCATAGGCAACCACATACCGTAATGACAAATGCGTATCTAGTGCTTCCAAGTGCCAGCCACTGTTCCAGACACGTTGCTGATGTTAACTCATTTAATCCTGGCCACGGCCTGGGAGGCAGATTCTGTCACTGTTCCCAGTTACCGGTGTCTGCTCCAAACTGCTGTAAGATCCATCACCAACCCTGTAACATAGGCACAGATTGACCAGGTCCCCCCTTTTACAGATGGAGAAACCAAGGCACAGAGCCATAAAATGGATTGCCCACAGGCACACGGCCAGTGGCACAGCCAGGGTGGGGATGTAGGAGTTCCGGGTGGTGAGTCACCCACTCTACTGTTCAATGGACGAGAGTCTTCCACCTGCAAGGACTAGTGTCTGGGTCCAGAAGGGGCAGGTCACGGGGCTTCTTTAGGCTCGTGGGAGTGCCCAAGGCCTGAGGTGGGGACCCTCCTTTCTGCACCCCTTTCTGTTCCCAGAGCACTGAGAACCGTACCCCTCACCCATAATGGAACCTGAACATATCTCGGTCAGTTCCTATCCTTGGTTGCAAGAAACAATTCCTTAACTTTCTGAGTGGCTTGCATTTGAAGCGAGTTCTCCTTTCTTATTCGTAAAACTTTGGGGAAAATTCATCAAGGAAGGGAAACCGGGCCAAGTTTTCAATCAGACAGGATCGTATGCAGTGGGTCTAAATTATCGCCAGCTCTCTGTGGGTGGGTCCACAGCAGCGTGGGGCTGTGTCTCCAGCCCCATCTGGGGAGTACCGAGTCGTGGAGCATCTGGGTCGCTGGTGACTGGGCTGTGTAGTCCAGTGTCACCAGTTTTTAGGTGAACAAATGAGGGCTTGGGTCTAGAACATTCTTAAGCCTGTATATGTTTTGTTCATAGAACTAAAAGGAGAGAGTTCCTCTCCCGTGGGAGTATTCACACATTTTCTTGCCTGTCCAGACAAGGCCACACCTTCTTGGGGCCCTGACCAAGACGGGGTAAGTACCCAATCAACCTCAGCCAGGCATGTGGTTTGGAGGGTCCTGGGCAGCTCCCTGCACTCTCTGGGCCTGGCGTTTGCTCTCTCAAGAACTTTTGGGGAATTTAGAGCAGGGATAAAGTAGAATGTCAAGTTCTCAGAAAGACATCTGTTTGTTCCCAGCCCTGCCAGATCCCTTCACCTCTCTGAGCCTCAGTTTCCTCATCTGTGCAATGGGGATTATAAGAGATGCTGTGAGGGATCGATGTGGTGATGTGTGTAAAGCCTGCTCAGAGCAGGGTCCAGCTTCAATGGATGTGAGTGCTTCCTCTTGTTCTAGGGTTTAACCAGAGCTATACTCCGGTGGTCTGCAAGTGGATTTTGCTCGGCCCGCCCAATGTTTTTCCGTATATAAATTTGTTGACAACACTTCAAGATTGAAAGATTCACATAAGAAGCTGGATCCCCAGTTCCTCTTGAAAAAATGGGGAGACTTGGCATCAGGGCATCCACATTCTCGGAGGAGGAGGAGGCGTGACGTCCACACATTTCAACAGCTCACTCCTGTCCCCACGCCCCGACAGGGGCTCTGGGCAGAAGGAAGCCAATATTTCCTGAGCATCCTACTGTGTGCCAGGGACTGCATCAACTGCTGTGCCCGCACGTGGCATTCAGTACTCAATTGTAAATCATCAACACCTTATTGCGCCAATGAAGAAACAGAGGCTCAGAGATTTGTGATGGGTTGCCCAAGCTCACAGGGTCACAGGTGGCATAGCCGGCACTTCTAATCAGGACCCATGTCACTTTTCTCTCTTCTGCCCTGAGCCGAGCGCAGGGTCCATGCAGCAACCCTGGCTCTGGCCTGTGGATGGGCTGATAGATGGATTTCGGCATGTGACGTCAATGCCTGGAGTTCCCATCCTTTTCCTGCAGACCCCCGGGGGTGGGGTGCTGTGGAGTTAGGGTGGGGACCTGTGTGCACACCTAGAATTCTTGGAATAAAACTCTCCCACCTACATACATATAAGAGGATCACAGTGTTAAATTTTTCATGGTAAAAGTGTTCAAATGTAACAATAGAAGAAAACTGTAGTGTAATAAACCCTCATGAATACATCACCCAGACTCAGCAATTATCAGTATTTTGGGCCATTTGCTTCATTTACTCTTTTTTGTTTGTTTGTTTGTTTCTCTTTTCTTTACGGGTTTATTTCAAAAC